ATAAAAGTGGGTTACTCAAAAGTGCTTTTCTCATAACATAAAATTAGTGTCTATACTGAAACGTATTGTTCTAAAGTGGAAAGAAAAAATGGCATTTCATTAAAATCCTCATTCATTAAAATTTACAAATCCCTCTTCACTTCTTAGTTGCTTTTAACACTCGATATTACTATTAAAACTGAAAACTCTTTAAATGAAATCATTATAACTTATGAGCGTACATCAGGTGATTTAGACTATCAAAGACTCAAAACGTTATAAGAAACGAAATCGGTGATGAAGGGACATGGTCCCACGATATATATACAGTATTACGTTCATAAAAACTTTTCCAGACACATTGCAACAACCATTAGCTCGTGGCTGCTGGAGAAAAAGTAAATGGACAACCCAAAACCAAAAAGGCAGAAAAGAGCTTTTCGGAATTATATTTATAGTATGTGAAGACTGTATGCTTATTTCAGCTGATGAAAAACTATATACCGCTCCACTTACCCATCCCAGCTGAGCATATCACATGTAGAACAATGATGAGTTTGATTTTAGGTATCATGATATAAAAAAATTAATAATAATACTTATATGTACTGACTTTATCACCAAAAATTAAACATGAAGAGAATATATTTTAATATTCAGCGACGAGAAAAATTTAAGGAAAAAAATAATTTTAAAACAACAGATATTTAAAATCATAAGGAAATCATCAGTTGACAAAAGTAAATTTGATTGTAAAGCACAAACGAGAAATCTTTTTGAGATAGTTCACTCTTAGGAAAAATATGTGAAGGCACTGTATTCCAGAGAGAGTGTTGCACAATTAAGTATGGTTGCAAATTCTGATTCACGAGAAGATGTTGTCAAGCTAGATGTGAAAAGAAACAAAGAAGTTAATGCAATTGAGTTGAATGAGCCAGATTACGTGAGGTAATCAAAGTCGAAATACGTCAAATATACTTGGATCGAGGATAAATGTGTCTAGAGAACATATAATTATGGAACTGGAAGTTGACACAAGTTTAAGTTGACTGGTTTAAGCAGTATGGAGAGGCAATATAATGGTCAAGAACCTGAAGGTAACAGAGCTAATACAAGGGAATACAAAAATAACCTAATAAAAACCAGGAAATGATTTCTTTAATTTCTTTTCAAGTATCTTGGAACTCAATAAATTTCGCGTTCGACATGAATAAACCTTCATTTTTTAAAATATGAATTATTTAATTTGTCGCATGAACTTCCAGGTTATTAGCGACCACAATTATTATTTTTATTTATTTACGTCAAAAACGGTTAAAAACTGTGTACGACGTGCTATGGAGAAAAGTTAACTTGAAGTTACATTTATGTTCAGAAGCAAAACAAGAGACCATCTCAGCATTTGCTCGAGGATCAGGGAAACTGGACGAAAACCTGATGAAGATGGGTCAAAATAAAATATACAATCAAAATACAATATATACAAAACACAACAGAACATACAACAGTATTTAAAACTAAAGCAAAAATACATAATTTGTCAAAACAAGTGTAACATTACATGCCCATTAACAATGACATTCAACAGCAACAGAATTTAAACAAATATAAGAAGACATATTGTGGATTACAATGCATTTTTGACATAACATTGCGACAGTATTAGTGCTTAACAGATTCTTAGTTTTTTACAGTTTATTCATAAAGTTACATTTCTTAAACTTTAAAGACATTTACAATGTGAAAACCTTCATTTTTGTTGGGCAGATTTTTTGTTGTTTGTTTACAGACGTAGCTGTTTCTTAATAGGGTGTATCTTGAACGTTTCACTAGACCAGACATTCACAACTATTTTCTTGCATCGTCCTCTTTCTATGGAATAGTTTCTTCATCGATCCTCTTACATTTTCTCCTTAATATACAGCATTCAATATATTAATATTTATACAAACGTTACTCAAAAACACTCTATAAACAACACGAAGATGCCATGAAGACAAAAATATGCACAAATGTTTTGAAATATGATACATTAGGTTTATGTATTTCGCGCTAGTTACTACTATTACTAGTTTTGTATTAGTGAGATCTCGTTCTTAATTATACCGATCAGTTGCCAGTCCATTTTCGGCTGTCGATCTCGAATCAACCCATTGATCGTTATTGACCCCCCTTCAAAATTATATCGACCACCAGGAAGTCTATTCCGGCCCCGTTGTGAACCCTTCCAATAGACGCTAACTAGACGGGGCTCCTGGAGTTTGGGGTCAGCGGAGCGCGAGATCCTCCGCTACACAATGAGAAGAGACAAACATCCTTGTCCGAGGTAGGAGTCAAACCCGCAGCCTTTCTTATCGAAGTGCTGAGAATAATGAAGGTCTTCCCCATGACAATTCAGATTGCAAGGAACAAAAGTCAATCTTAAAAACAGGAAGACTTTATAGAGTGCGTGACTGGCAAAGTAATGACTGCAATTCATTAAAAAAAACGTGTCTTAACTTAGGCCGCTGTTTATCCAGTCAGATGAAACTGAGATATTAACTGAGGTTAATGGTAGGCAAAAAAGAAAGAAATTGTTGAGTGTATTAAAAAAAAGTCTTGATAAAATTACTTGTTCTGTGGGGTCTGTTATTGACACAAATAGTATGTAATGGAAAATTATTTTTTTCTTCTGCACTGATTCATACGACTTTCATTACTTTATACAACGAGCAAAATCTTAACATTTTCTTCTGATAAGATTCTCATTGAGATCATTCTTATAAAAATCAATTGTATCTTTTTTCAGAATGCTTAAGAATGTTATTACACGACTGAATTTGTAGAGAAACTAGATCCAAACTCTCACCATGACGACTTTAGGAAACAACTACCGAGTTCACTTGCATTAGCCATTTCCCATAATGCTAATATTGACCCATTTGAGTCTATTTGATCTCTCTTAAGTGTCGATAGTTTCAATTGTTTCGATTCGGAACTGCAATCAAAGCAATTTTGGTTTCATCAATCTAGTTTACATTAATAATTTGTTTTTCTCCCAGTTACCAACTGTCCTCTAAAAATACAAAACAAAAATATTTTAACCCCAAACAAAAGAATTCACTAGACACAAAGCAAACAAATATTGGAGAGGAAAGGATCGCCATGTACTCTCTCTTAGAGCCATCAGAAATTCACAATATCACACCACCCAAAAGTGAACTCGCTACCCAATAGTCAACAAACCCGCGCCCTCCTGACTGTAAAGTCAGCCGCCGCCGCCGCCGGCGCCACCTTTGCAAGCCAAGCCCTTTGGCCCCGTCGTGCCGCTTTGGATCGCGAGGGAAATCCACGTGGACGGCTTTTGACCCACCCGCATCGCTACAACCCCGAAAAATTGCGGTCACCATGATACAACCACCGCCCAGGCAGCGGGCCTAGCGAGATAGCCAGGTCGCGTTCAGCGGCTGTTTGAAAGAGGATTCTGGCGGCCGAGTGCTCTGCTCGGTAGTTTTCCGGGATTTCTCCGATCAGTACCAGGCGAATGCCGGAGCAGTAACTTCAAAAGGAGACCACGAACTGCTTGCGATGTTTCCTTCTACATATTTCTCCCTCCTCTCCTCACATACACACACACACACACACACACACACACACACACACACTGACACTTACATGCACCGCACTACATATCGTTGCTTTCCGGAATACTGTTGTAACTTTGAAAACCTGTTTTGAATAGGAGGGCGTGATTAATTTCCTCGCAACACCATGTACTTTCCTTTAACCGATGATAATGCAACTAAACCAAAAAATGTTTCTCGTTTAAAAAAAAAAAAATTATGAAAATTAGTTTTATAAAACTCTGAATTTTCGGACATTATTTCATAAAAATAAATAGGGACCTCCGTTCATGAAAGGGTGATGGATCTATTACGAAGCAGCGTTTCGTAAAATGTCAGAGAAAAGATTTAATTCACATAAAAATGATTGTTTTAACTGATCAAAATTAAAATATAAATTTTCGACTTTTTTTGTTACACTATTCCGGAAAAGCTATGACATGTCGGCAGGTGAGTCGGGAACTTAGGCAGTTTTCACAGTGGAGACGACTTAGGCCGAAATTTCCGAAAGACAAAACCAAATAAAACCGACCTTCGTCCGATAGCCGGTGTTTTCGGACGCCGTCGGAAGAGGTCATTCGAGTTCACTATGGCCATTTCTATCGCGTGTTTGACCGAATCCAGAACATCGGATAAAAACGGCCGAAAGAAATTTCGGCAAAAATCAGGCCCACAGTGACCACCGCCTGAGACAATGTCTCGGCTATGGCGGTGTCCCGCTGACGGAGATACCTGGAGTGGTAAACCACGCAAACCGATGTTACGTTAGCGCCGGATCTCACCGGTTAGCGGAGGAGAGAAGCACCATCACCGTTGGCGTTGGCTGTTTGAGACGCGTGTTTGCGGGACGTGCCGTGGTTTGGCGGGATTTGTCGTGGCAGAGTTTGTCCTGGCAGGGTTTTGGCATGGCGGGATTTTGCGTGGCGAATTTTGGCATAGTGGGGTCTGGCGAGGCGAGGTTATCGTGGCGGGTTTGTCTGATGGGGTGTTAGAGTGGCGAGGTTTAGCGGGCGTTTTTTTTCGTGGCGGAGTTTGGCATGGTGAGGTTAACATGGCGAAATTTGGCGTGGTGGGAGTTGGGCGTGGTGAGGTTTGGCGTGGTGGGGTTTGGCGTTGGTGGGAGTTTGGCGTGGTGGGGTGTGGCGTGGTGGGGGTTTGGCGTGGTGGGTTTTGGCGTGTGGGCAGCTTTGAGGTGGCGGGGTTGGCGCGGCGGGGTGTGGCGTGGCGGGGTTTGGCGTTCTGTGGCGTGGTTCGGCGCAGCGTGTCGTGAGTTGACGTGTCGTGTCGTAATGTGACGTGTTGTGATAATGCGTGGCGGGGCTGAGCGGGGGCGTGGCGTGGCGAAGCGCGTCTAGGCGTGGGGTGTCGCGCCGTGCGCGGGGAGCGGGGGCGGCGCGTATATAACGGGCGCGGAGTGGCGCGCCGGCCGCCAGTGTCCGCGTCGCAGTCATGGAGAGAGGGACGCTCGCTCGCATCGTGCTGGCACTGGCCGCCGCCGCCTCCGCCGCGCACGCGCAGCAGGGCTACGAGGGTGAGTAGGCGATGCACGCGATGAGGTCACATGGCGTCACGCGCTCGGGGGAACGGGTAGCCCCACATCGCTGTCGCTGAGCAGAAAAAAATGATGCCTAGAAAGTGATTGTTGTTTTAAAACACAATGCTCTACCTGACGCTTTCTTACATCATCCTATGCATCTGCAGTGCGATGAATCGCTGATAGCTTTAGCTAGCTGACAATTCAAGTTTTTAGAGAAAGTGCGTTAATATTTTTTAAACCTTTGGTTTAAAATATGAATGCGGATACGCTATTTATCGCCGACATCTGAGAAAGTGACGTTTACATCTCCTTCTACACTAATGAAATTTCTGTTGCTTCGTTTCAATCTCATACTTGGGTTTTGTTCTCAGTGCGTCATACCTCATTCGTGATTTTGAACTATTTAGTGCCCTTGTTGCTATGGCAACTGACATTCCGATCCGTTCGCGTTTGGTCTACTACTAACTTTCTACCAGCCAGCGAGCGATTCGCTCCAACGTTGTGAATTGAGCGTTAATAACGTCGTCCCAAGAACAAAGCTCACACTAGAGATGCTTCATGAATGGGCTTCGCGTCGTTCTTTCGCCGTCTATATCAACCACCGGGCATTCCCGGTAGACATTGTTTTTGTCGCTGTCTGCGAGTGAAATAAAAATAAATGTAAAAATGTCAGTAGAAAAATATTTGTCAATGAATTAAAATGATATTTAATAACGATTAAGAGAGCGTTTTCGGAGTCGACTAGAACTCAAAGGAATGTAGTTTCACCAGTTTTTGAGAGGTAATCAAGTCTGGGAACTGCCCATAATTGACGTATTCGAGAAACGTATTTTCAGAAGGGTCCAATTCAAGATGTTGATTTAGAAGGTTCTTCCACTTAGCGATGAAGGCCGCAACAATGACTAGTATCCTGACGAGAATCGTACACTATTCACAAAAGTAGTTTGTATCATACATAAACATAAATTAGTTGTAAAAATCTTCTCAGCTGTGACGAAGTGATTTGCTATGTGTAGTCTACAGGCAAAATAATGTACGTTTTAGGGACTTTAGCGGCTTAAAACGTATATATGTTTTAAGCCACCAAAGTCCCTATATATAGTTATTTCGTATTTTAATACCTACAACGCCATTTATAAAGAGAGATCAATGATGGTTAGCCTTTTTATTAATTGAAATCGATTTTTGTGATTGCTTCTAGGACTTTTAGGAAGATTCTACGTTTCATGAAATACACCTCAATAGTTTGGAAGTGTTTCTGATTACTTAAGAAGAACAGTACTTCAGCAAAAGGTGCTTTCAGGAAGAAAGTAATTGATCATATAGTGTTAATAATTTTTAATATGCCTTAAATCCATTTCATAAATATCACACCACTAACAGATTTTATCAATGTCACTATTCAATGAATCTATGAATGGGAGTTGTTTTCATAATAATTACGAAGATACGAAATGTGAAACTTTTGTCTTCGTTATATAGTTTGTTATTAAAGAAACAATTGCGCGTGAAAAAAGGAGAAAAGGAAGTAATCCCGGCCTCAGCCTTGGGGCGCGGTAAGGGGCGCCAAGGTCGCACTGGAGCTTCGGAGCGGCCAGACAAGATTCTTTCCAGAATGTGTTCTTCTTAGCTGGATGCTAGCGAATTCTCCATCACATTTATTCCTAGAAATGAGCTATGTTATATCAAACTTCATTGATCATATCGAGAAATTATTCCAAATTGAGTCGAATGCGTCATAGCATTTTAGGTTAGTTTTAAAAGTTGAGTATTTGATAGTGTTAGAAATATTTCCACGAATGTATAATGCTTTGGCAAAGTATTTATTTCATGGTTTCGAAGATTGTGGCATTTCTTAAAGTTAGTTTCTCTTTGTGTCGTCACATTATGCAACGATTTGAGGTTGAAGACATACATCGTAAGTCCTACAAAATGTCTGTAAACGAAAATAGCGGTCAGGGTTGTGATAATTCAATTATGGGACATAACAAACACTTTATGATTTTTGATGATTTCGACCTAGTTGACAAGCTAGTGTGGAAAATCCCATCACTGTCGGAACTGGAACCTAGAACCTCCCGGTCATGAATCTGTCGTGATTTCAATACGTTATTGACAGGTGTTAGAGCCAATACATACACATTTCTTTACCTACAACGTCAAAATGAAGAAAGTCTCTCGTCGGACAAGAATAAGATATTTCAGGGATGATGTTTTAAACTAAATAAAGTGCATGTATGTGTGTAGATTCTTTGTACTTGAAGTGATATTTTTTATAGATGATTTTTATGGTTGCATGAATGTGTCTTCTAATTAATTGTCGTGTCGGTAGTTTTTATTGGGTGAGAGTATTTTATAACATCCTGTAAAGCGAGTTTAATGACCTGACGTGAGCTACATATATACCTTAACACGTGCACGTTGACGATTACGCACGCACGCGCCACGCACGCACGCACGCTCTCTCTCTCTCTCTGTCTCTCTCTCTCTCTCTCTCTTCTCTCCGAATCCAATTGAAAATTCCCGCACAGATTGCCCACTTAAATATACCGAAGATGGTGTGTAGCATGGTGATTATGGAACTTGATTCGCGTCTGACTTTCAGTCGATGGCCCTCCCTAATATGGCGGAACTTTTAGGCCACAACAGACCTAAACACGCATGCCAGACCTGAAAAAAAAATCGTCTAATAAGAAAATCCAACATGTTGCCACAGGCTGGCAGACAAAGGTAGCACGCATTGGAGGAGAAATCACCATTTCAAAGATGTGAAAGAATTTGGCGAATGTTCTCTCTCTAGTGTAGAGTAGATGCTATCCTACTTACAACGGCTTATGAAATTGATCGTGCACCTATTAGCTGGAATAAAACAATACAGTTTTCTGCATCAATTATGTATTTTGGACATCACACCGTTTTTGAAGTAAGTACTTACTGACTTCAACACGTCACTTTCTTTCTCATTTAAAATTAATAAAATTATTTACAAAATATTTTACACGGGATACTTTCTGCGTTTTAACATTTAAAATCATGAAATAATTTTCCTTCTGAGCGAAAATGTATTTCCAATTTCGTTTACGTAGTGGCACTAGATCCAATTTTACAATTGCGATACTTGTCTCAACTTTTTCCCTCCTGAATAAAACAGTATTTTTTTTTTTATTTTTCACAAGCTACAATTGCGAATTACAATTGCACTCATTGCGAAGCACAACTGACGGGCGTGTGTTCTCCTGAGCTAGCGCGAATGCGGCGGAGCGTCCCTCGGTGTCTCTTCCTCCTCCATGACGTCGCGTCGCGCCGCTGCGCACCCGACGTGCCCGACGACGCGACGACGTCGCCATCTCGCGCTCAGTGGGCGGGCGCGCGATTCTCCGGGGGAGAAAGAACTGCGACACACGCGCCGCTTGAGGCACTCGTCCCCGAAAAAAGGCGAATATCGTAATGTGAATAACTTGGGGGCAGTCGCAAGGTAAGCCACATTAACCATAAAAGGTCCTCCGCTTTTCGAAAATGTTATTATCTAGTTGGGTGAAAGTAGCCTTTCTCGTCACTTTATCGTATTTATTTATTGACGTTTCCGGGAACGGCAACTGTTACAGTCATAACTCCTGTTAGTGTAGTATGTTTTATTCCGAGAGGTGGTGGTGTTCCTCCTTCACTGCGGGTGAGATCCGGTGCTGTCATACATGAGCGCTTGTGCGGTATGTCCCACTCCATTTACATCCCCAGAGAGGCACCGCCACAGTCGCGGCAAACTCTAATCTCCCAAATGGTTTTTCAACATTTAAGTACTTGTATGATCTACTGTTGTGAATGTAAGTGTAAATGTTAATGTATAGAACAATGAAAACAAAGGAAAGATCGCGCGCGGCCTCTGGCTCGTTTGTTAGGGTGCTCCTCAGGTATTCGCCTGTAATGGTAAGAGAAACCACGGAACAATACCGATCACAGAAGCCGGTCGCTAGAATTCTCCTCCAGACAGCAGCAGAATTCGATATACCTACGTGGATAGTGTCGGAAATTCGCCACTGTAGAGATTCGATCCCTAGGACCTCTCGGTCAGAGTAGTGATCTATAGAGGGTCTCGATCATGTTTAAAAAGGGTCTGGTGATTCATATTTAATATGCGGTTGTGTTGACAGAACCCAGTAGATATGTTCGGAAAGTAATGACTTGTGGTTCCCAATTATTGAGGAAAACAATTAAACATCGGCTGTATCTCAATGTAGTTTATTATATTTACCAATTTTCCGTCAATATAGAAATAAGTTCATTAACATTTTGAGGGCAAAGGATGCAAAAAAACTGACACTATCCATTATGCCAGTAAATTAGTTGTTCAGCTTAGTGCGATGAATATTAAGAGTGGACAGCATGCAAAGGTAATGTAGGACGCGTATGTAACCTTTTTTGAGACGCATGTTGATTTGACCATTAGCACTTGAGGTCACGTTGTTATACTGAGAATAGTCATACACTACAGGTCATTTGTAATACTTAGACGATTATCACACTATTACAAAAATACTTTTAGATGACATGCACACTTGATCAATTGTCGAGTTTACCTTCAAAATCGTGTATTTAAAGCAGTTATTTGAGCAACGACAAATTCGTGCACCAGGGATACTCGAGATTTCATTCTGAATGGAGGTGGGGACTAATCGCCCAATCAAATGAGGGTATTAGAAATGTTTTGGAAAGCTTCGAGAAGGAAAATCGCCACAGGCAGTTAAAATCCGTGGGCGATTAGTTGAAATCTAGCGTAGCAGCACGTGGAGATCTGTGGGTGGGATTCCCGTTAACATAACGTTAGATTGCTAGGACACGGTGCCAGATTGTAAACCGTGCTCCTATTAATGTTCAAGAGCTTCAATTCTCGTAGTGAATAAAACTTTGTATGACGAATGAAATGCTTGCTGAAATACCCCCGCAAAAAATACAATAAATTAGCATAATTACAGTATGCCCATCCGGATAGCCGAGAT